AAAAAAAAAAAAAAAAAAAAAAAAATGAAAATTTAAAGATTTATGTAAGCATAAGATCCAATTAAATGAGAGTAAAAATTGAATTTAGTTGGTAAGGTTTAAATAATTAGTTGGGGAATTTAATATGTGTGTTGAAAGGAAGAGGCAGAGATCTCCGTACAAAATTCATGTGGGGAACCCTTCACCAATATCTGCCCTTTGGATTCCATGGCCCCCACTTTAACCTCTTTTCCCTATTCCATTCCCGTCTCCCCACCTATCACTCCCCTCCACGTGGCATCTCACCGTCCAACATTAATTTTATGCTAATAACCTTTATTTCTTTATTTATTTGTTGTCAAAGATTAATTAAAGACCCCTTAAAAAATAAACTAACGTGTAAAAAGAACAGACTCTAACTAGTAATGTTCTAACTAACTAACTATATATATATATATATATATTTATAAATGTTAGCATGTTATCAAATTATTCGAATTATTGGAATTGGAAAAAGAAATAATAATTAAAAGATTTAATTGTCACATTTTTGTTTTTATTTTTTTATTTTTTGTGTTTTAATTTAGATTTATTATGTCCATTCTAAAATTGGGAATCTAATTTACCAGCTGTATATTCGACGGCAAATCCAGATGTTTTCCACTACCAGAAGACACGTTTTTCGAACTCCATATTTAAAATTAATAAATTTAATTCAACACAAATATTAAAAAATATAATGCTTAAATAAAAAAATAAAAAAAATGAGACTTTACTCTGACTGTGAGATAATTTCGATTTTAAATGATTTAAAATTTTTTTTCAAAAAATGTTGAAATTGTATTAAATGAACGTCATCGAATTTATGAAGGGGAGAGCGGGGCCCATGAAAACGGCACTCACGTTGTCCGTTGCGCGTTGGAGAAACCCAGTCGCGGTGGGCCCACTCCAGACCCTTAGCGGGGTCCGAACGAACTTGTGGACAAGGAATTCCCTCTGACACGTGGCCATCGTCTGTTGGATTCTCTCTCGACCGATGGCATCTGTAGCTGTCGGTTCATTTTGTGGGTTCTGTCTCTCGCATCCGGGTCGTTTTCGTTTTGGGGCAACCCGCCCAGTTTTTTCACCCGGTTAGAGTCTTTCTTACGCTAAATTAATAAAAATATTTATAAATTTTCAACCGTTTTAATACTCGTTTTTTAAAAATTATACCAAATTTATTTAATTTGGGATGAAGATTTATTTTAAAAGTAATTTTAAATTTTTAATAGTATTAATTTTTTTAAATACTTTTAAATTTTACATTTATTTAAAAATGAATTTTATGAATAAATCAAAATACAATTGGTTTTATTATTATTATTATTATTATTTTAAGTTTAGTTCAATGACCAAAAATAACGGAGACGTCCAAATATGTTAATTTCTCAACGTTAAATTACCTAATTTAAACTTTTAATCTCTATAATTTTAGTTTTTTTTTTTTTAATTTTAATTTCATTTTTTAGATTCTAATTTTGTCATGGTCAAGTGTCTTGGTTGATTTGTAAAATAAAAGTTTATAGGGTATGGTGTTTTGCTCAACACACTTCAATATTTAAGTTAAAGTAGTATTCATCCTCAACATCGACTCTACTTGATCTGACCAATCATAAAATGCGAAGATTAAAGCTCGATTTAGGGTCGAGCCCAATGGGCTTGAACCATTGTTTGGGCTTAGATCGGGTTGACCCACTCTTTAACCATCCAGCATAATACACGAGGTTGAGTAAGAATTATTTTTAAAATATCATATAAGATTTTCTTAATCAAAATGGTATTAAAATTGATTGAATATATTTTTTAAATGAATTTGTTATAAAATTTTAGTATTTTTATTACTTTTATTTGATAAAATTACAGTTATTATAAAATTTTATTAGCTTTTAATACTTTATTAAATAAACTATGATATTATATTATAAAAATATAAAAATTTTACTTTTTCTTGGCCCTCTTTAAAGTCGCTGCTTGCTTTCATAAATTCATAAATTCAAATGGAAAATTGGTTATTAAAATTTGTAAAATATATTATTTCACATAAGTTAACAAACCAACAATGGTAAATAACATTATTTAAATATTATTTTTCCTTTTAAAATGTGTCCCAATAGTAAGAAAGTTATCACATGTTACCTACCGTGGTTACTTTTAACTCCAACCAAATATTAGGAAAATAATTGAATTATCAACTTTAATTGGATCCTAATAATATTTAATTAATATAATGTTTCTTAAAAAATAAATTAAATAAATCACCTTTTAAAATCATGTATTGTTTTTTTTTTTTAATTATTTTATTTTAAGATTAAGAAAACCAGACTGATTAGAGATTTTTTCAGACCTCCAATAAAAAGTATGGAAAAAAAGAGGCTCGAATGGTACGATCACCTAGTCACCCCAAAATGAAATAAGCATCTTGTAGTTTTTGGTTTGTAAAGATAGGTTGTTATGTGCTCGGTTTTATTTTCCTATTGAGGCGGAACGTGTACTGTTTTATACCGTCGTTTATAGAGAAAATTAACTTGAATTATTTAGCTTTATTTATGTTAAGAATTACAAATAATAATAACAATAAACTTGAGTTTGATCGTGACATTTCAAGCCCGATCATTAGCATAATTCAAAGAGTCTTTACTTTTGTGTTTTCTATGATAGAGAAAGGTTTCAACATTGTTGTAAAAAATGTTTAGTTTTTCTCTCCAACCGATTTGTGAGATCCCATGAGGCTAGATAGGGGAACGAAACATTTCTTCCAACAATGTGGAAATCTCTTCTTCTTATCAGACACATTTTAAAATATTGACAAATCCCACGCAACGGGATAGGGGAACAAAACATTTCTTATAAGGGTGTAGAAACATCTCCTTCTTATCAAACATGTTTTAAAATATTGACAAATCTCACGTGGTGGGATAGGGGAACGAAACATTTCTTACAAGGGTATAGAAACATCTCCTTATCATACACGTTTTAAAATATTGACAAATCTCACGCGGCGGGATAGGGAAACAAATTATTTCTTATAAGGGTGTAAGAACCTCTCCTTCTTATCATACATGTTTTAAAATATTGACAAATCTCACGTGGTTGGATAGGAGAATGAACCATTTCTTACCTGGGTGTAGAAACCTCTTTTATCAGACACGTTTTAAAATGTCGAGGAGAGTCTAGAATGGAATGTACAAGAGGACAATTTACCGGGCATGATCTATTACACTTACTTTCGAAAAAGAAAAGATATCTAAAAATAACATTAAAAAAATTGAAAAAAAAAGCAGGCAACTTTAATTTGAAGCTTAAATTCTTAAAATGAAGAAGAAAAAAAAAAAAAAAAGAGACTTAATTGTCGTCCATTGTTCAAGCAACAATCTTTTTATTGCGTTGCTTCTGCTTAAAAACTTTAAATTCAAACAAGAATTTAAAAAAAGAAATTTGTTTTTTTTTTTATTATTATTCCAAATAATAAAAAAGAAAAAGAAAAAGAAAAAAAAAGAAGCATAAAGTCATATGTAATAAAAAAGAAAAGATCTTGAAGGACACGACGACCATATAGTGGAAGAAAACCCGCTTAATAAGACAGTAAGCCTAATTTTGCTCGAGCCCACTTTGTGGGGGCCCACACTTCATTGCTTACTAGTGCCACGTGTTATTACCATAACCTATACACCTAAATATTATTACTATACCACCACTATTCAAATTTTATTTTTACCTTTTTCATCCTTTTAACATTTTAATTTATATATATATATATATAGATAAATATTTAAAGATATTCTTAAATCGGTACTCTATGATTTTGAAATACATATAAATAATGTTCTTCTCACCTTAATTTCAGAGATATTTTATATATTATTGATTAATTTATTTAAAAATCTAAATTTATAGTCAAAAGTTTTTTTTAAAAGATGTAAAAACTCTATTATTAAAAAAAAGAAATGGGTGTTTTTATCGAGGGATAGGATGAAAAAGATATAAAAACTATTAACTATATTATTATAGGGTTATTTGTGTGTACGTACAGGACCGATATGTGTATGTGCTGTCAGAATTAAGGGTATTTTGGTCATTTCGTCACATGTTTTTTTTTTTAAAGAAATTAAATTAAATTAAATTTCTTGAATTAATTTTTTTTTTAAAAATAAAAATTACACGAACCAGTGAACCCGGACCCGGATCTAGAGAGAGGAGAGATAAAACGGACCCTAGAGGTTGGAGAAGAAGAAGAAAAACCAGAGACAAAAATGGAGATCCAAAATTGACAGTCGGATTTCGAAGGATGTGGTAGTCATCTTCCCGAGCTTAACGATTCCTTTTTTCCTCTTGACAATCTACCATCTCCGGCCATTTTTTTTTTTTTCTTGATCCCCTTGTCTTATTTCGGTTCGAAGATTTTCCGCTTTCATCCATGCGGCGAGGCAGACCCTCAGATCCATTCACAGCTACAGAACTACCAAAATTGACAGTTCACCCTGAAAATCCTGTCAAAGAGATACGATACAGAGGCGTTCGGAAGCGTCCTTGGGGCAGATACGCCGCTGAGATCAGAGATCCCTGGAAGAAAACTAGGGTTTGGCTCGGTACCTTTGATTCAGCTGAAGAGGCTGCTCGGGCCTACGATAATGCTGCTCGGACCCTCCGTGGAGCCAAGGCCAAAACTAACTTCCCTCTACATCCATCCACGATTTCCATTCAACAACAAATTCCGTTCTACCAATCGCCGCCGGATTTGCACGATTCGAACGGTTATGGTGCCAAGATTGAGTGTGTTCAGGCTAATAGGCCTACGTCGAGCAGTTTGAGTTCCACCGTGGAGTCGTTTAGTGGACCGCGGATTTCTAACCCTTTGTCGTCGCTGTCTATGGTTCGCCGGAGGCCGGTACAGCCAGTTTCGCCGGACGACTGTCATAGCGACTGTGATTCGTCCTCCTCGGTTGTTGATGATGATGAGGTCTGTGTGCTTGCTTCTTTCCGTCGAGCCTTGCCCTTCGATCTTAACTTACCGCCTCCCATGGACGTCGTGGATTTAACAGGTGACGATCTTCAAGCTACTGCTTTATGCCTCTGATGAGTGATGCCCCGATCTTGCTTTATATCATCGTGGTTTAAAATCGTCCTCGTTTTTCTTTCTTCTTCCACATTTCTTCTGTTTTTTCTATCTTATTTTCTCGGGAAAAACACTAAACTGAAAATTTTCAAATATGGTGGTAAGTTGAAGAGAATTTGGTCGCCGCCCTCCACCCTCTCTCCCCTGTTGTCTGTCGATCCCTACTTTGTTGTTAGACTTATTAGAAGAACTGGGTTCCCTTCGACGACCATGGGCTATATATTGTTGTCAGATCATTGAAGCTTTTTAGCATCGTTTAAGCTGCTGTGTATCTGGGATTTTCGTTTCTTGATCCGATTCACATCATGAAATCCTTACTACTGTACAAATATTTACCCATCTAATTTAAAGAATCTGCAGTGTTCTAATCGCCATGAAACTTTTCTTACCCATCTCTGGTTTTTTTCATATCTATTTGAATTGCATTGTTCAAAGTTTGTTTGATCTGAAAATTTGTTGGAGGACTAGAAAATTGAGTGTTTATGCTATTTGGGGGGAGATGGGCATTTAGGGTTTTTGTTTTGATGAGAAACATTTATTGGCACATGTGATGCTCGATTCTGATCTCAATATGCCCAAAACCCAATAGAGGCGGGGGCACCCTTCCCGAGCTCCCCCCCGCTTTAGGCAGAGGCCTTCACCAGCTGCTTTCCTTCCCAATGCCATGTGCTTGCAAACCTAAATGATTCAAAAGGGATAAAAACTGATTCAAAGGGTTTTGCTTAGCCAATTTCCCTAAAGTTACGTGTTTTGTTTGCATCTGTTCATGATTTTCATGGTGTGATTGGTGTGAACATAATCATATTGGTCTCTCAGGTGAGGATGGTCGGCCCATGCTTGTATAATTTTATAGCCATCATCCATCTCTGTTAGCTCTTTTTTTTCGCCCTTCCTTTCTTTAGAAGGTGAAATATATTGCATTATGAATATAGAGTAAATCATAACTTCCTACATTCGACCTTGTATTGTATTATGAGCCTGTGGTTAAAATTGTTATTTAATATAGAAAAATGAAGAGGAGTGAAAAATTGAACAAAATCTTTGAGATTGATTTGAAAGGAAGGCCCAGCCAATGACTATCAGACAGGTGGTATGATTTTCTTCCCTTTTCCTTTTTCCTTACTTTGAAAGCTCTTGGTTCTAATACAACGAATAAGATAGTCGCAAGTAAGAAATTTGGACTTTGCGGACAACGTTGGCGTATGTTTGAATTTAGGGTCATGTTTGTGAGCAATGTTTTAGAAAACGTATGTTAAAGTTAAAAACGAGTAGACAGTAACAGTTGGTTTGATAGCATAATCGGGTATGAAGAATGGATAACTAATCACATGCCACACTCTTGTATTGTATTGACACAACAACAATAGTAAAGAATGGATAACTAGCATGGCAAAAGCATACGGCGACACATGGCCGGTGGTGCTTTCCACACCAATGATTCCGCTCTCTCTTCCATCCACCAATTTGTTCCAATTCTGACTGTTTGGTGACCATTCTTCCTACCACCTAACTATATTATCCTTCTCATTCTTCTCTTTCTTTTCTTTTGGATTTTATATGGCCCTTAACTCTCTTTCTCAATTTTAAAATTTGAATTTAGTTTTTAAATATTATTTGAGGTTAGTGTATAATTAATTTTTTTAATTTTTAAAAATGTCTGAATAATTTGAATAATTTGGAAGAAACCCTTGCACAAAATTGTCTAAAAATACTCTTCAACTTTCAATTTTTTTTAAATACCTTTTAATTAAAAAATATCCTTTTAAGTCTGGAGAAGTCCGTGGAAACTACTAAGCTGGAGTATGGTAGGGGCAGAGAGAATTTCCGGTGGAGCGGTGAAATGCGTAGAGATCGGAAAAAACCAACGGTGAAAGCAATCTGCTCGGCCGACACTGACACTGAGAGATGAAAGCTAGGGGAGCGAATGAGATTAGACACTCCAGTAGTCCTAGCCGTAAACAATGGATACTAGGCGCTGTGCGTATCGACCCGTGCAGTGTTGTAGCTAACGCGTTAAGTATCCCACCTGGGGAGTACGTTCGCAAGAATGAAACTCAAAGGAATTGACGGGGGCTCGCACAAGCGGTGGAGCATGTGGTTTAATTCGATGCTCATTAATACCCTTAAACTAAAAAAAAAAAATTAAAAAATACAATAGTAACCCATTTAAAAAATACTCAATTTTTCAAAAGTACCATAAAAAAATTGGATATGCTATGACGGGTCAATAAAGAGTTTTCATTTATAATATTGATAATAAGAATTCTTTTGAACGTTTTTAAGGTAAAAATGTTATTGCATGTTTTTTAAACATGATAAAAATATTTTTTATTTTTTATTTTTGAAAATTTAAGAGTATTTTCGAAACAACTTGCTTTCATCCAAAATTAGCATAAAAGTAATTTTTAGATTTTTTTTTTAAAGTTTAAAGATATTTTTCCGACTTTGAAAATTTAGGGTCGTTTTTTTAGACAAAATACAAAATTTAAACGTATTTTTATCTATTTACCCTTAATTTTATGTATAATATGTATAATTTAGGGTATTAATTTGGCATAAGTAGGTTGCGTTAATGGTTCCTAAACTTTAAATAATATATATATATTTATTAGATATAAAATCAAAAATTTAAAAAACTTATTATAAATTAAATTGTAATTTTAAAGATTTGTTAAACATAAAACTAAAAGGAACTTAATAGATAAAATAAGATTAAAATCTTAATTTGACCTTGCTATTTGGCCCAAAACTTCAACAAGTTTCAACTTTTGGCAGACCGGGAATTGGTTACTTGTAAAGGAAGAAAGAAAGCATTGGAGCATCAAAGTCTCCTCGAATTATTAGGAGGAAATCGTCAAAATCCTGAGTATTCATTCTGGAAATCAAACCTCGACCACTATGCAGAGATTAAAGGCCTCAGGAACTTCGATTGTAAGCTCGATTTCAGCAGCTAGTTTGAAGAGGAAGGCCGTCAATTCATGGACGGCCGTTCAGGATACTTTCTATTCCACCAAGGTGACTGAATTTTCGGATTTTGATTTCGGTATTGTTTGTAGGTTATAGAAACTCGGTATTCTGGATGCTGTTTGAAGTATAATCGTTTTCATTGAGCGTTTCTGTTTAATTGTATCTGAAAGATGTAATGTTATCAAGCCCTGCGTTCTCCATTGTTTACATTGTGGCGTTGATCTTGCGTGTTTGTAGAATGTATTCGAAAGGCACAGGGTGGTTTTTACAGTAGGGACTTCTATTGCTTCAGTTGCAACTGCCTGGTTTGGTGAGTTTTCTTGTAGGTTTTCGTTTAAATTTTGCATTTGATTATCGTTGTACTGTTAAAGAATCAGTAGGCTTAAGAGACCGAGCGTTAAGTTGCGATGAATTCATTCTACTCAACTCATATTCTTTTGACACATATATTGCTTATTTGTTTTACTACGATATTGTAGCTCTTATTCCCTATAAACTGGAAGTTGTAATGGATACACTTTGAAAATTTTTGTTAAGCAATGCTTTCGGTTTACATTATATTCCAAATCCAAATAAAATGAATGAGAAAGGATTGATATCCTTAATTTGAGGATCAATGTGAAAAATGATGACGAACTATTGGGTTTTGTTTGTGGAGTCAAGAAATTGTGTGTTGATTGTATGCTTAAGAGTTTAGCAGAAGTTAAGGTTTCATTGATTTTGCTGCAGGGTACTCTTTACGCCACTATCATAACATCCAAGTTGACAGACGGCTCGAATCTATTGAGGAAGCTGTAAGCATCTTCGTGTCAATCATTTTATTTATTTGAATGTAATCCAGCCATAATTGCATAGCCGCGACTTTTCATTTGAATCCTTTTCAATTTTGTTCTCTTTTGTTTCAAAGAATTTAATGGCAACTAAGTGCAACCGTTCCAGCACTTTCTGCGTCCATTTTTCCTTCGGTATATGCATGTTTGCTTCATTTTAAGCACTAAAAGTTTGAAAGAAGACGTGAGTGATCGTTGATCTGCTCCTGATTTTCTAAAGATGAAAAAGGAAAAAAAATGGCTTTGAAAGAGTCAAACAGTAGGAGGAGAATGCATTATAGAGTCACAAATAAGAAAGATCACTGGGTAAAGACTACGAATTAGACAAAGAGAGCTCCTTTAGCAGAGAAATTTTTGATCTTGTCAAGAGATTTTATCGCCCCTTTGATTGGGTCAATCTTCTTTCTCTTGGAAGTTTAACAGCTTGTTTCCATATGACCTCCCAAGTCCTAATCTAATATATCCATCATCTAAGGCTAAACAGAATTTTGTACTGCTACTCCTATGCCCCTTCTTTGTTTTGCACACGAGCGCTCTCGTTATGCCATCTCCTTACACTACTAGTGGTTAGATTCACATTCTTCGTTTTTGCTTGTGGCAGATGAGAAACACACATCAACTTGAGCATTCTGAACTTACAAAGGTGGTTAATCCTGGACATATCAGCGTGCCTGCTTGCTTTGCGAATGCTGGAACTACCTTGATTATTGGGTCTGATTCTGTTTGCTAATTCCTTTTAATGATGCTATTGTTTCCATTTTCGTGGGGATTTTGAACTCTTGGATGTATAGTTTCAGTATTTGGGGCCGATAAAATGCTTAAAATTCTGAACTTGTATATTTTCATTACTTTGTAGCTCTATCATCGAATTCTGAAACTTCAATACACTACTATCTGAACGTTTATTATCCATGCTCCATTCTCTATAGTTATGATTTTCCGTTTCGACTGTGCAGATATTGCTTGGGATGGCGAGGTGGAAAACGGTATGCGATCAAGCAATTGAGAAGAGAGCAGATGAAGTTGCTAGGGGAGATAAAACCCAGATGGCAATTTCTCACGAGGCTAAAACCTAAAGAGCTGAACTTTCCATTTAAGAGATCATCGGGCAAACCTGGGGTGCAAGAAAGTGTCAGCCAAAATACGGAACAAAACTCCAAAAGATGCTGCAGCACAAGAACATCAGGGAGCTAGCTGTTCAGCGGTAAATCTCATTCTTCTCTTATCAATTGAAAATAGATAGGAAATGCGAATTCATTTTTCAGTACTTTGAAACTTATTCAACATTATAAGTTTTCATTTTGTTTTCAATAGTTTCATAAAATTGTGATTAAATAACTTATAAAGGTTCACGTACATCGACATCATTAGTCACAATTTTGGGATTTTGGAAGGAAGCTTAGTTTCTTGGCATGAGTGTCAATTGGGTAATTTTTGTTTTGAGCTATGTAACAGTGGTAGGGATGTAAAATTGTGTTTACTCCCCACACTAGTTTCAAGGACTGCGATGGTGAATACATTCTTCATCTTTGGCCTCATTTTTGGTTCCTATCTTATTTTACTCACTTTTTAA